ACAGGAAAGAAGGTGCTTCTCACTCACCTCATAGTTCTAACCGACCTGTGACAATGAGACTGTCACAGGTCGGCTCAGTAGATCGGGAGGTGAGCGAACACATACCGGCGTTCGCTCACTCTCGATCCTGTCACAGCTCTCTGCCGTGACAGGGGAGGGGCTGAATTCGCTGATTGGCGGAACGGACAGGGGAGGGGGCGGGTACAGCTGGAATGACATCAGCGGTCCTCAGACCAACAGAGCGCAGGATAGAAGAGGCTGCGGGGAGCGGAGGGATCAGGTAAGTCAAGTGACCGATAGGATATACACATTCGGGTGGATTTACTAACCTTATAAACACACCACAAACATGTATACACCTCTGTAGTGTGTTCCCTCCCAGCATGATCTATGGGTGGAATCTAAACACCTTTGTAGTGTGTACACACCCAGCAGGTGTGTTGTGCAAAGCCCTGCCCTGAATTGCAAGGTGATGTTGTGTAAATTAGCTCTATGTTATGTTGCTTGCGTTGATGAATGCAGGAATGTAAATGCATGAGCTAACCTTTTTTGTCTAAACTGTGAAGCAGCATTATATATGCATCATGTGCATGATTTTTCCATATATGGCATTAGTGGAAATATGCTTTTAGAGACTTTTTGGTTGATAAATACGTTTTGCTGTGTGAAAATCACACACACCTGGTGCGTGCGTGTGCTTAGGTTAGTAAATCACCCCCCTTTACATCTGTTTGCTCCTCTGTGTCCACATCCATACATAGCACTCCATGTGTGTGACCTATGACAGCTAGAGCTCGGAGCACGCGTGACTGGTCCCATGTTCAGTTCTGTGTCGTTCTGGGAGGATGTGTGCATAGATTTCTGTGCAGACCTTCCTCACAGATGCAATGCAGGCGTACCCTTTTACACTTTGCTGTGTACATTTGTGTTCATCCCGATACCCAGCAAATGTGTGACGTGTAGCGTACAATACCTTGTAAATGGAAGCTTATTCTAGAACTGCACCCGACCTTTTGTGACACTTGCATTGTACATTAGCCCCTCCCCTGTACTATTTCTACATCTATGTACAGTATACTCCCTGTTATCCGGAACCCACCAATCCCTGTGTAGTTTCTGGTTGCTTGAGAGTTACTCTTAGAAATAGGTCTAACTAATGCCATACCCCATATTATACCATAACATGGAGTCTGTATTGCCTTCATATGAATACTGAAATGCAGTAACCAAAAGCAAATGAAGACAAATATACACGCGATGGTTTCCAGGATAATACATGCCGCAGATCAGCGAGTACGCAGGGGATATTTTTTTACTCTGGTTAGATGAGAGTTCTGGTTAGCTGAATACCAGATAACTGAGAGTTTACGGTTTTGTTGCTCCTACATAGCTGTACTGGCCAACAGATATTTCAGACCCACAGATGCTAAAGATTCAGGAAATATACAGGATTCCACTACCGATGCATCTCTAGTTATTTTCCAGTGCTGTATATCTGGCCGCGTACCAGCAGAATCGCATCAGAAAATCGAATGTTCCGAGAACAGTTTTCTTACAAATAAAGAGAAAGTCCACCTCATTGTCATCCCGCTGCCCCTCCCCCGCACCGCCATTGTTTCATCTCTTCTGCACGCACAGGCTTCCAGCTATTCAAGACCTGCGTACAGACTTTTCTGGTATCTGGAACCTTCCGGAAACCCACGACGTCTGTGCACATGTGCGAGTCCTGAATACCTGGTACACAACTGCGCACACGTGGCCATCCCATTAGGCATCGGCCCATTTCTCTGAAGTTCTCGCCTAGGTAAAATGTTGTTTGCGCTCATTCAGACGGCGTGCACACGCATAAAAAGACCCGATCCCGGGAGGGGCAGGCGCTGCGTGGAATTGCGTACAGCGACCTGTTCCTCCCTATTGGCAGTTACACACCTTCACCTGCACACCTGGGACGGTCCGGGTGTGCACACTTGGATGTAGACAGTGGATGTGGAGGGATGTACAGGCCCGGGTGTGCACACTTGGATGTAGACAGTGGATGTGGAGGGATGTACAGGTCCGGGTGTGCATGCGCCCGCGTGTAAATGTGTGCAGCCGCGTCCTCCCACAGGGAGGAACAAACTACCGTGCGCAATTACACGCAGCACCTGTCTCTTCTGGGGTCGGGTCTTTTTATGGGCGTGTACGCCATACACACGTGTACGCCTGTCTGAATGAGCCCTTAGAGGAAAGGGGGAGGAGCCAGACACTTGTTTTGAACAGGTGAAGGTGCAGACTGTTTGCATCGCAGCAAGAAGCCAGACAGATAGTATTTTCAGGTCATGTCAGATGTATACTCAGTGACATACATAGGTGTGTACACTTGTGTAATTGGCAAGGCTACAAATACCAGTGTTTACTCCGGTAACTGGTTATGTTACATAGTCAGGTACATGATGGTCATGTGTGTACATTTCTCTTATCAGCTATGCATGTAACATGTATATACTACAAAGTATAGCCACATATTCAGCACAGTACACGCCTGTAGTTGGCTGTGTAAGTAACAACATGGGTATACCACAGTGTCCATATACATATCCAGCTGTTATACTGCCAAAAACAGACATGTACACTGCTGAATATGTAACTAGACAGCCCAGTACCAGGCATGTGTGCAGCTGAATCTGGGACGGGACACTGGGGTAAATATTGAGACATGTACACAGCTAAATATGGCACAGGACCCCGTGGTACACATTCTACATAGCAAGCCAGTAACAGATGTGTATACGGCTGACCATGTGACTAGATACTGGGACATATACAGGTTACCGTCATAGCCAATCAATTAAGTGTATACTGCTGAATATGCAACTGATCACTGGGGTAAGTATATGGGGTAATTGGGGTACACTGGGGTAATTGTATGTACACAGACAATACTATAAGAACACACAACTGAAAATGTAGCCGGACACCGGGTGTATGCATTGTATATACAGAGCTCAGCCGAATACATTCATGGACACGGGGTATATGCAATGTATATATTCATGGACACCGGGGTATATGCAATGTATATACACAGCACAGATGTATATATTCATGGACACCGGGGTATATGCATTGTATATACACAGCACAGATGTATATATTCATGGACACCGGGGTATATGCATTGTATATACACAGCACAGCCGGATATATTCATGGACAACACTGGGGTAATTGTATGTACACAGACAATACTATAAGAACACACAACTGAAAATGTAGCCGGACACCGGGTGTATGCATTGTATATACAGAGCTCAGCCGAATACATTCATGGACACGGGGTATATGCAATGTATATATTCATGGACACCGGGGTATATGCAATGTATATACACAGCACAGATGTATATATTCATGGACACCGGGGTATATGCATTGTATATACACAGCACAGATGTATATATTCATGGACACCGGGGTATATGCATTGTATATACACAGCACAGATGTATATATTCATGGACACCGGGGTATATGCATTGTATATACACAGCACAGCCGGATATATTCATGGACACCGGGGTATATGCAATGTATATATTCATGGACACAGGGGTATATGCATTGTATATACACAGCACAGATGTATATATTCATGGACACCGGGGTATATGCATATATAGAATTGTACATCTCTAAATATGTAGCTCAGAACTGGAGTACACAGAGAGACCAGTAACATATTCAAATGTGTGTATTTCTGTACACGTTCTATATGTAAACTGTACATATACCCGTGTGTGCAGTCACATCGTGTGCACATCTGTTATTGGCTGTGTATGTAACCCTAACCCAGTAACCAGTCATATACATTACATAGCTGTGTACATTTCTGCTCCAGGCAATGTATGTAAAGTGTATCCACCCCGGTGTCTGATCATATACTTTGCTGTGTACACTTTGGTTATAGGCCATTTATTTGACATATATGTACATATACCCATGTGTACAGTCACATATTCAGCTGTGAACACTTCTGCAATTGGCTACATGTCAAATGTACAAATACCCGTGTGTGCAGTCATATACATATCTGGGTATGCTCCTGTTAAAGTATGTATGTAAACATAACAAAAAGTGTACATGTCTATTATTGGTTATGTATGTATATACCCCAGTGTCCAGCCATATACCACAGTGTCCAGTCCTATACTCAGCGGTGTACATGTATATACCACAGTGTCCAGTCCTATACTCAGCGGTGTACATGTATATACCCCAGTGTCCAGTCCTATACTCAGCGGTGTACATGTATATACCACAGTGTCCAGTCCTATACTCAGCAGTGTACATGTATATACCACAGTGTCCAGTCCTATACTCAGCGGTGTACATGTATATACCACAGTGTCCAGTCCTATACTCAGCAGTGTACATGTATATACCAGTGTCCAGTCCTATACTCAGCAGTGTACATGTATATACCAGTGTCCAGTCCTATACTCAGCGGGGTACATGTATATACCACAGTGTCCAGTCCTATACTCAGCGGTGTACATGTATATACCAGTGTCCAGTCCTACTCAGCAGTGTACATGTATATACCACAGTGTCCAGTCCTATACTCAGCAGTGTACATGTATATACCAGTGTCCAGTCCTATACTCAGCAGTGTACATGTATATACCACAGTGTACAGTCCTATACTCAGTGGTGTACATGTATATACCACAGTGTCCAGTCCTATACTCAGCGGTGTACATGTGTATACCCCCAGTGTCCAGCCATATACTCAGCGGTGTACATGTATATACCCCAGTGTCTGGTTCCATACATAGCTGTTATTTGTTATGTATGTAACGTGTACATACCCGAGTATCCACTTACGTATGTAGCAATGAGCACTGTATTATCTATGTCTACACCATGTGTATACCCCCGTGTTCAGGTAGACATATATACCGGTGCCCGCTATCCCCGGTGCCCGCCATCCCCGATACAGCAGCAGTGTGCCCGTCACTTACCTTCCGCTCCTGCCACCGCAAACTGCAATAGGCGCCTCACCGCGCATGCGCCGATCTCTGGAGCTTAGGGCAGGAGGACAACTTTCCACTCTGCTAGAAAACGAAGACCACGCACACTTTCTACAACGCGTCATCGCCAACGTCACTGCCGTGTTCCCCACAGCCTGCCCCCTCCATAGAAGCGCAGTGTGTGCCCAGCGATCATCATTACTTTTAGCATGTCACATACCAAATAAAGATGACACAAGTCCAACGAAGATGACTCACTTCTCCTTTCCCTGAGACAGGCTCGCAGAACTAATGCTGGAAAACGGAAAAATGCACTGTCTGAGCTGCCTAGAGCAGCCAATCAGCGTGCGCTTTATCTATTACGCCTGTCCAACTAAAGGCGTTGTCATTGGTAACACAGACAGTTCTTGTTTCAGACAAGTTTGCGGATAAAGCTTTAAAACTATATAAAAGCGGAGACGTCGTCTTGGGAGAAATGGATTTACAGACCGATAACGCAGGTCATCATGTGACCACGGCTTCATCAAGTTGGGTTTGGCTATGTAGCCCTGGGTTGACATGCATGGTATAAAGCCATAATTTTTTTTGGTTTGGGTAGACCTAGAGAAGTTTTCTCATTGTCAGTGCTGTCCATGATCCTGTTGGGGAAATCCCATCTCACTTCCTGTCCCCCTGACAACAGCAGTTGTCACCGTGACAGAAAGTAACAAGCTGACAGAGGTTCTTAGTTTTTTAGTAGGGGGTACACCTAGCTCTAGACTCTACCTGTCCTGCTGTGCCCCATGATTCCCCTCTTTAATTTTCTTCCTTAGCACAATGCCCCCCTCTTCTTCCAGGGACTGTGACCTGTGCCCCATGATGTGGCCCTTTAATTTTCCTCCTTATCAGCACAATGCCCCCCTCTTCTTCCAGGGACTGTGTCCTGTGCCCCATGATGTCGCCCTTTAATTTTCCTCCTATGTCGCCCTTTAATTTTCCTCCTTATCAGCACAATGCCCCCCTCTTCTTCCAGGGACTGTGTCCTGTGCCCCATGATGTCGCCCTTTAATTTTCCTTCTTAGAACAATGCCCCCCTCTTCTTCCAGGGACTGTGAACTCTACCCCATGATGCCCCCCTTTAATTTTCCTCCTTATCAGCACAATGCCCCCCTCTTCTTCTAGGGACTCTGTCCTGTGCCCCATGATGTCCTCCTTTAATTTTACTCCTTAGCAGCACAATGCCCTCTTCTTCTTGCAGGGACTGTGTGCTGTGCCCCATGCTGGTCCCTTTAATTCGGGGGTGGGCAAACTTCGGCCCTTCAGCAAGACAACAAGTCCCATCATGCATCTGTCTCCAGGATTCATGCCTGTGGCTGTGAAAATCTTGCAATGTCTCATGGGATTTGTAGTCCCACAATAGCTGGAAGGCCGGGGGTTTTGCCCACCCCTGCTTTAATGTGTGCTCTAGGCAGCTGCTGCCCTAACAAACTAAAGGTGGCCATACACTCTACAACCATCGCAAGACATTAGTCTTGCGATGGTTGTAAAGGGATTTTAAAAAAACGTACGATCTGCCTATCTTGGACAGGCAGATCGCACTCTCCATCATCGCAAGCCCGCCCCCCTGAGGGGCAGGCTTCCGATGACCGCAATGCCGAACGGGCAGTGTGCGCGTGCGCACACCGGCCCGTTCGGCATTTGTCTTCTGAGCACCGTTCTAACCAGCCGAGAAACATGCTGGTTCGACGGGAGACCGTACAGTAGAAACGGTCGCACGTCCCCGTTCACACTGCTCGATTCTCGTACGATCGCGGGATTTCCCGCAATTCTCGTACGAGAATCAAGCAGTGTATGGGCACCTTAACATGTACAAAATCAGGAGATGACTAATGCTGGTGATCAGGAGCCGGGTCAACACAAGTGTTATTATTATTATTATTATTATTATTATGATGATGATGATCTTATTTTCGGCTCTGTGTAAATGTAAACTCTCCCCGGAGCCCTCGGAAAATCAAATATGGAAACAAATCCAAAAAACAAACAAGACGAATACAACTTCTTATTTTGACTAAGACACTTTATTTTTAAACAATATAAACCTTCTTCTGTACAAGGAAACATTAAAAGGCGTAGTCCAGCTTCTGCAAAAAATGTGCACACATTAATAAAAGAAACATTGTGCATTTATTGATTTATTTTTTGCATTGAAGCCTGCAAAGTATTGTGACTGCGATCAGAGGATCATGGGTGCAATGCTCTGGCTCCTGCAGACTATTCCTCCCAGCCCCGTCTGTCTCGAAGTACAGACATGCAGTTAAAGGACGTGAGGAAATATGAGACAACGTTACCGCGCTTATATTCCAATGATCACTACAAATCCCTCTGCCCCAGTGGCTGATGGGACGTGTAGTCTCCCCAGAATAACATAGACACCGGTACTCCCAAGTGATGAATCAATGGCGTCTGTTTATTGTCGCATGAAACATAGCACAATGCATCAAAAAGCTTCTAATATTAATTGGGACGTAATGGACTCAGGACTCTGCAACGTAATGGACTCAGGACTCTGCAACGTAATGGACTCAGGACTCTGCAACGTAATGGACTCAGGACTCTGAAAGTCATACCACCATCATCCATGGCCAGCATTGTCCCCCCCAGACTGGGCTCCACTATCTGGAGCTGCAGACAATGGGCAGAGATGAGCTCAGCTCTAGCTCCTCCTCTCTACCGTCTCCAGCCTGTGAGCCCTGCAGATCCGGTGACCACCACCTGCCAATCACCGCCCCTGGCTTTCAACATGCCGGACACAGTCCCCCAGCCCAACCCACCCCTGCCTCCAGCTGTGTTGTTGCCCTCCTGCCTGCCGCTCTGGGCTAAAGGGACAGCAGCTATGGTGCCCAGGATAGGTGCCCCTTTTGCCCTGTGGTAAATACAGCCCTGGTGTTAACGTCACCACACCTGTAGTCCATTCATTCAAGGGACGTTACGGTACTTAAAGTCCATTCATTCAATGGATGTCACCACACTCGTAGGCCATTCATTCTTCCTCCAGTCTATGTTACTGAATGTCCGTTCCGAGGTGCGGACATGGACAGGGGGGGGGGAAAGAGTCTGCAGGAGCCAGATCATTGCACCCGTGATCTACTCCTATGCAAAAATCAATAATTGCAATTATTTCTTTTTGAAAGAAGTGTCCATGTATTAGCTTTTCTCAAAAAGTGGACTTTGCCTTTAAACATTTACCTGCAGGTGTGATCTTCTAGAACCTATTGGTTTGTGTGAATCACCGCATGGGGTATGGTTTAGGTACTCGGTGATCGCAGTGAGGAAGATCTCATCATTCTTGGCACTCCAAGTGTTTATACTGCTGCTGTGTTCATTTTCCTGGATAGTGCAGTTTGTCCCTGATCCCTGGAACTGCAGTACGCTCACTGTGGTTGGGCCAGCTCAGCAAATTATAATGAAGCAAGGGAAGTTTGAACCTTACAAGAGGAAAAGATAAGGCAGGCTGTTCATTTTTTTTCCCCCCTTGGATGCTGCTCTATCAGCTTGGAAAAAGCAATGAGTTTACCGGCAGCTATCAGATGGAATACTGAAAGTCTGCTGACATGACAGAATAGATAGATTATCTGAACATCTGGGATATAAGAAGAGAGTCTATTGCAGTGGAAGCCAACCTTGGCACTCCAGCTGTTGTGGAACTACAAGTGCCGTGAGGCATTGCTAAACTCTGACAGACACAGGCATGATTGCCCGAGGCATAGGCATGATGGTATTTGTAAAAAAAACAAAAGAGAAGTGCGCCCACCCTAGTGCAGATTGTTTTTAATATGAAAGGCAGCAAAACAGAGTAAAAACATACTCACAATAGTGGATCAAAATAAGAGCTTTCAACAAAAGCAGGAGGACATCAGTAAGAGGCTGCACAGTCAGCCTGTGTGCCAGCACAGAATGCCTTCGTTAACGCGTTTCCAGGGTCACACCCCCCTTCGTCAGAACGAAGGGGGCGTGACCCGTCAGAACGAAGGGATGAGAAGCATGGAGACGGCTTCCCTGCTAATCGGGAAGCCAGGTGACGAGTCTTTACACGCCCCCTGGCTTCCTTAATGGCCTTCTGGTATTGGTATTTGATATCACAGAGTCCCGGAAAAAAATATATCTGTACTCGATACAGAAAACCGATATTGGTGCATCCCTACTTGATGTAAATAATAAATCAATCATTGAGTGTTAATTCAAAAAACAACCATATGTGTTCATTTGATATGCAGGTTCTGCTTCCTTCTATAATCAAAGTGTTTCTATTCCCAAGAAGAAAAATGCAATATATTGCAGCCTATCAGTCCTTAGATGTGGGGGTTGAGATGGTTTTCTTTTTGTAAAGGCTTTTTCCCCCCCTTTATTTTTACTTGGTGATCCCATCAGCAACACGCTTCCTGTCCTAGGGTGACAACACTAACTGTAATGTATCTTTGGGGGAGCAGCAATAAACCCCTAGGACAACAGAACACCTTCCCTTCCCCTTACCTCCATAATATAGAGGTGTTCTTTAGCCCTTGGACATGTGACTATATGACTGAATAGATAGTCCTATTGTACCTCACTGTGCAAACAAAATAAAATCAATATAAATTATATTCATAATAATCACGTGAATAAATGTCCATCTATCAAAGTTCCCAGTTAACAACGTGATATTCCTCCTTCCGTGACAGTTCTCCTCCACCAATTAAACAGGTGTAATCATGTCCATCTGATCAAAATAAGTCATGATAAGTAACGATGAACAGTGATGTTCCTCTTCCTGTAATAAATCCTTCCACACCCAACAGTCCCAACAGTGAGTGCCGTATGTGTCCGTGCTTATCCGTCTGTGCTCTCCCAAAACACTCACCAGATCCCGTGACACTCTGTTACCAGAGAGTCGTATATTGCAATCGATCAATAAAACCCTAGGATAAGACGTATGCTAGGACTATAGAACACCTTCCCTTCCTCTTACCTCCATAATGTAGGGAGAGGTGTTCTTTAATCCTTGGACA